TAGATAGATAGATAGATAGATAGATAGATAGATAGATAGACAGACAGACAGACAGACAGACAGACAGACAGGTAGATAGATAGATAGATAGATAGATAGATAGATAGATAGATAGATAGACAGACAGACAGACAGACAGACAGATAGATATATAGATAGAATTATATAGAATAGGTAAAATTAAACAATTTAAATTAATGAAGTAATTTAAATAATAAATACATTTAAGTAATAGATAGATAAATAAGTAAATTAAATTCAATAATTAAATTAAAGTCAATCTTTTATTACATAATTTAAATAAATTGTCAATTTTAAGCTAGTTTAATATTTATGTGTGTATATAGATAGAAGAAACAGAAAAAAATAGAATTAAATAATTTAAATTAATGAAAAAAAAAATAAAAATAAATTTGATCTACCAGATAGATAAATAATGTAATAACTAAAATACAATCTAAATTAAATAATTAAAATAAAATGTTAATTAAACTTTACTATGTTTAATACTTATTTGAATAAAATAAAATTGCACATAAATGATATTAAGTGTTGTAGCTCATCTCAATCTGAAGTTCTTGATTAATGTGTCATCTGTTGTATGTTTTGAGTGATTCCTCTCAACCCGGTTAGTGACCCGTCTGAACACATCTCCACTGCTGTGGTTTAATGTTGAACACTAACCGTGGGTCCCGGAAACCCCTGGAGTCCCAGCATGCCTGCGTCTCCCACCTCACCCTGCAGGAAAAAACAGAAAACTGGCTCACCATCCAGACTTCAACAACTTCCTGCACTCACACTTTTCCCTCTTTATTCTGGGCTGATCCTGTCTGTGTTTCTGGCATGATTTCACTGACTTTCGTCTTCAAGAGCCCATCATTTTAAGTCAACATCCACAGTGGCACATGTTCATTCATTCATACACGGCCTGTAAGATGATATTCCCGCTCCGGACTCTTGGAATTCCAGCTCGCTTTCGGCCTTTATTGTGTTTTCCTGAGTTACGTAAGAAAGTGGAGCAGCTCATTTGTCTCATGTTCACTCAACGATCTGCTTACCATCATTCAACCTCTTACGTAAGAGACCCGCTGACATTTAGACCAACTCCAGGAAAAAAACCCTGGATTTATGATAATCCGTCACAAGAACGGAGTCAGATGAACAATTCTTTTGGTAGAAAAATCAATAAATAATTCACATGATATCAGGTTCAATCTGATTCAGCTGTTATTTTAGTATCGTTGATATACGTATACAGTTACAGTTTTTGTTAATATTTTGAATTAGATTTTATATTTCTATTTTCTGTTTTCACTTTAATTTGAGTTAGTTTTAGTAATTTTTTTTATGTGTGTAAAGTTTTTTTATTTTATTTAGTATTATTTATTTTAGTACTTCAAGATAAACATAATGAAAGCATAATGAAAATAATTTTTTTTATTGCAGTTAAAATCTATTTTGTTTCAAGCTACAAAAATGTTTTTTTCTGGTTTTAGTTTTAGTTAACCACATTCATACGCATTTTAAAAATTAAATTGGATTAAAACCAAATTAAAATAACAGTCTGATTAAATTTCAAGCAATTTTTCCTCATCATATATTTTAACAATTATTACATATTTAATATTTATAATTTTACATTTTTAAACATATATACTTAAATATTAAAATATTTTTATATTTTGTTCATAAAAACAGCAATTTCTAGCATAACTAGAAAAATGTATACTCTTAACAAAAATTGTAGAAATTTTTAAAGACTTTATAAATTTATTTACGTAACTTTACAAAACTTTTTTATACCTTCGAGCTTCCCTCAAAGCACACAAACATGATCAAGATTTGCACATTATTGGCTGAACTTTACATGGCTTAAAAAAAATCATTATTGTGAGACAACGGTACAGTGATACAGTGCTAGTTTAATATGACTAATTTACTATGATAGTATTTATTAATATTTTGAATTAGATTTTTTTTTTTTTTTTTTTTCAGTTTTAGTTCAGTTTTTTTTTTTAGTAATTGTTT